CACAGGTCGGAAGGAGCCTTCATGCTTTATCAACATTAAAGAACTAGTCAGTCCCGGGCTGGCGAGGTAGGCAGTGCTGGTGAAGATGCTTGATGCTAAAACTAAACCTGATGGCCCAAGTTCATTCCCTGGGACCCACAGAGTGGAAGGACAGGACTCCTACAAGTTGTCCTCTGACCTACACACACACACACACACACACACACACACACACACACACACACACACACACACCATAGTAGTCCCATGCCTCACTCATAATTAATTAAATGTAACTGTAAACATTAAATAAAGAAACCAACAGAATCTGTGACAGCCGGTATGGCAGGAAGTGGCCATGGAGCCCAGCACTGCCCAGTTCATGGGATGCAGGCCGTTTCCCCAAACCCACACCCTGTCCCTCATCTCCATCCCTCCTCTGCACCTCATAGCTCCTGACCATCCTGGGGCTGGGACTTCATCCCTTCTCTCTTCCTTCTCAGGGGCTTGCTGTTCTCAAAGGAGACAGAGGGGTCGCTGTTTTACTCCGTCTGAAAGTAAAGGGCACGCTTCCTCCAGAAGGACCGGCGGCGGAAGGGAAGTTGGGGGAGGAAGAAATCACCCTTTGTTCCCGCGTTCAGACGTTTCCTGTGTGCACCTGTGTTCAGTCTTACCAGGATGGGCTCTGGGTCCGGCCTGAGTCCTGCTTTCTGGTGGCCACTCCACGGCCTGCTTCTCCTTGGACTGGCACTAACTCGTACAGCCAAGACTGCCCTGGAGCCATCTACATGAGATGGCAGCGGACTCGGTCACCTACTGTCCACTGTTGTTGGACATTTAGGGATTTCTGTATCTCCAAGATTCCTTTATGCTCCTGTAGTTTGACTCTTTGAAAAAAAATATTACATTTATTTATTAATTTATTATTATGAAAGGCCGGGTATGCAAGCCTTCTGGCGTCCTGTGCAGGTCAGAGAACAAATTGCTGAGTAGGTTTTCTCCTTTAGCTGATGAGCTATCTCATAGGCCTATGATTAACATTTTTGGGTCCAAAATATTTTTTTAACCTTTCATATTATTTCTTTGGGCTGGATTCCAAGAAGTGGCATTACTGATAATATGTAAAAAGTTCTTGCTATGAATTGCCAAATTTCACTCTAAAGGGCATTGAGTGTTGCCTCCCCCCTCCCCCATCTCCCTCTCTAGTCTCACCAGCCTTACTTTTTTCTGTTTTCTCCCACTCCCTCGGCCGGTGTGGCCACTGCTTGTTCGATCTTCCTCAAATCAACCTTTGCAAAGTCGCAGAAAGGACAGAAACCAAGCAAACTCCACACTGATGTGAGAAAGACACCGGAACCTGCAGAGGGTTCCTGCGGACGGCCAGTTGCGGGGTCCCCTAGCCTGTGTCTCCTTCCTTCATTCAACATGTTTTAGTCGTGAAGGATGAGAGACAGGCTGAAACGAAAGGCTGAAATGTAAAGGAAAAGTACGCGGCAAAGAGAAAACAGGAATCCCGCGCCCTGTGGTGGGAGGCCACGGAGGGACCTAGAAGGGGGCGTTATGAGAGAGGGGAACAAGAACACTCAGGAAAGGAAGTCCTGTGATTCGGGACACCCCAGACTTCCCAACAGGCGACAAACACAAGCACCGACCGAGCTGAGGGAGCAGGCAGGAGATGGGTACACAGAGCAGGGACTGCCTGGCACTGCGACCTTCTCGAGCCGGGGGAAACGCAGGCTGAGAGCTAGGACGGAAGCGGTTGGTGGCTCACCTGGAGCATACCCACCCCGAGCTGCGGGGGGCAACACAAAAGGGGGTCCTCGGACATGGAAAGAGCGGCCCAAAACGTGCAATTTAACATCTCCCACTGCGAGGTTACAGGGGCGCCATGCAATTGCATGCGTCCGACTCCAGGAGCTCCCTGAGCAGGGCGCTCTAGGTGCACCCGGCCTTTCGGGTGCATCCAGCAACGGGGTGCATCCCACATCCTCTCCTACCACACAGGATTGCAGGCAGCCTAGCTGTACCGCAGCAGCTCTTGGCGATCCCAGATACTAACGCTAGAGGGCGCGCAAGGGTTGTCGCACCGTGGGGTCCTGGAGCATCGGGGAAGTCTGGGGGCGGGCGGGGGTTAGGGGTGCTGGGCTGTTTAGGGGCGCTGGGTTGCGGAAGCAGCCCAAGTGGATGATTGGGGGGACCATGCAGACAGTTGTCGAGTGCCTTATTTGTTGTTGTACCTGAACTAGATCTTTGCAAGATTGAAACAAGTCGCGAGAAACAGAGAGAATGGGCAAAGGCAGACAGAGCTGTTCTAGTGCCCCCCAACCTCCAACCGTGGTCTCCGAAACTTAAGGGGAGAAACACCCCGATTCCACCAGTACTTAGGCGCTCGCGCGCGCGCGCGCGCGCACACACACACACACACACACACACACACACACACTCCACTTTCGTGTGTGTGGGGGGGCAAACTTTAAAAGGCTTTTAAGCAAAAAAAGGAAAAACGAGGTTGCACGAGGCTGAGGTACTTGAAATGATTTTTGTGTTGCAAATTGCTATGCTTTTACTGAGGGCTGATGAAAATAAATGAAGCGCCTCTCCCTCTTTTCGCTAATAAATGAAATGAAAAAAAGCACCATTATTATGCCACCTGCTTCTAATTCCTAATTGTGGTAACTTAATTTTCAGATTGTTGTAACTGCTTGCTACCACAGGCGCCTGAGCAAAAGGAAAAAAAAAAAAGTATGGAAGGCCGGTTGGGTCTCTTTTGGCAGATGAGGCAGAATGCGCACAGGCTTGGGTTTTTATCTGGTTCTTCCATTAAGATGTCTATATTGCATTTTGAGAGGACATCATTCTTCGCTTTCTTCAGCAGCCCAAGGGGTGCTCGGAAGGAAAGAAAGAGTATGCATTGCTCCATACACGGCGGGTATGGTAAAGCCCACGTTTCCCCACACTGAGACTGAATGCTGTTTCCTCTAA